AGACACATAGCTGATGCAAATGTTTAAAAGACAAAAGCATGTAGCTCAATACTGGCTCTTGATTGCAACTGTGTGGTAATTAACTGCTTTGATAATGGGTTTGAAATAATTGACCCTGCTCCCCCAAACATTTTTTTTTTCTTTCTGTAGGGATATCATGATGGTGACAAAGGGGACTGGGACATAGATTCCTTGCTGCAGCCTTCTTGCAAGTATCAACCCTCCTCTTCTCCCCAAACTCATTCATCTGACTTGGCACCAGATAACTCTGCAGTGCAGAGAAGATTGTGGTGCAATCAGATCATGGATTGAGGTCCGGGCAAGCTTCAGAGTCTAAAGATTATGCTGTGGCATATGCAGATCCAGTTGTTGCATGTGGCATTCAGAGGAGCTTGATGCTGACTTCTTTTCTGTGTGGATATACAGCTAAAAAATCAGCAGATTATACCGTGGTAGATGTCTTGGCCTTGCCCAGATAGTGAGACCTTGCTGTACACAGAGGTGGAGGAGATACAATCACTGCATGTTACACAAAGCCAGAATGTAATCTTCAGGGGACCCTAAGAGATCTAGCTGGCAATAAAGACAGCTGACACGCCCTAAGAGGGAAATGCCTGAAAGACTTGAAAGTACTCTTGTTTCACCAGGCAGATGAGCAGCTGAAACAGTACATGCTGCCCTGAGTGACCCTGAGCTGAGCTTGACAGAGAGATGGATGAGCACAGGAACAGTGAAGGTAAAAGTTCTCCAGCCTTGACCAGTGACGTGTTTGTATGCTTGTTGGGTGAATGTATTGGAATTATCACAGGGAAAAAGAAAGAAGAATTCAGAAGAGAAATTAGGTAAACTTCATGCCAACAATAACAAAAGGATTATGTAAAAAGAAGATGCTAGGGAAGACGGTGGAAGTGAACCAGAAGAGTATCTTTCCAGCAAACTGCCTTGTTTTGTTTCTGGGAGAAGTCAAATTAGAGCAAGAAGTTAAAAAAATTAATGGAACTCAGTCAAAAGGACCAAGTTTTGAAGGCTTACTAGTCTCTTCAATCCCAAAATTTCTTTCTAACAGTATGTTTCGAGCCTAGAATAATGATAGGCAGAACGATTTCAAACCCTAAACAAACGCCATCCAATGCTGCTTTCCATTAACAGTTTCTGGCCTTTTCACAAAACATCTCAGACTTGTCTTGGTCACAACAGCTCTCTTGATGGATGAGATGTGACATAATACTGGGGATGAATATGGATATTTTTAAAACAAGTATTCCACTCTCAGCAACATGCCAGAAAAGTGAAAATTTTCTAAAATTTAATCTTTTGAAGTCTTTCAAACATTCTGAAATTCTCAAGTGTATAGGCTTCTCCTGCCAGTTCTTTAGGCACAGTAAATTAGTGGGAACTTGCCTCTGTTAACCTGCAATTTTACACCCATTTTCATGGGTTTCTTGTATTAGCTTGCCTCCTGCTTTGTGGTTTATTTGGGCAAGTTGCCTTTTTTATTGTTGTTGTTACCTTTTGTTAGCATGCCAGAGGCCTTAGGGTGCCAACAAATAAGACTATTAGTGCTCCCTTTTAGTGCTATATTGTTCTCATTTGCCCCTGCTTGTTTGTGACCTAATCTTGAACCTCTGCCTAATTTGCTGAGCTGATTTTTCTGCATCCTGCTCAGACTAGGAAAAGCAGTGGGCAAATCCATCCTTGTTTGCACAAAACTTATTGGCCAGAGAAGCTAGCAGGAAACAAAGTAAACTGAATGTAGAAAGCTGCAAACAGAAACCTGTCCTTAGACAAAGTTCAAAATCACAAGCCATGTTAGAAGTACATTCCCATTCAATAAGTGGGTGCTTTACGTCAGTGGGCACTGCGTTCTTGGCCAGGTGCATCCACTACACCTGCTTGCACTGCTCTAAAAAAAGCGCCTGCCCTGCTCTTCACATGACAGAGTCTATCATCTTTTAGAAGATTGGGGACATTCCTGTCACAGCGAGCTATTTACGCAGCCTCTCTTTTCAGTCATGGAGGGTTTCAGACAGAAACAACCCACTAGAACAGATTTATGTAGTCCACCTGTTTGCCACTGGACGGTGTTTCCCTGTTTTGTGCAGCCCAGCTGTAAAAGCGATCTGGTTGACATTAACATGTCAATCAGGGATCTCTTTCTGTAGAGCTAAATATGCTGCACACATTCTTTGAGCCTGAAGAAATTATTATGCTCGACTGGGCTATGCACTAGCTCAGACCCAACTCTGTCTCCCTAATGGTGAATAGTGCTCTACTGAAATTTAAATTAAGGTACTAAGGTGAGAGTGACAGAATAACATCTACAAACATTACTCACTAGTGAAATGGCCTGAGTTCCAGGGGATACTGCCCCAATATTGCTATGGCTGACTCCTATGGTTATTGCTATGGTGCCAGGTTGTAAAATCTACACCCTGAGTTAGGCTACCCAAATGAAGAGGGACACACACGCACCCACGGAAGATGCGTCACATGCCTCAAAAAGAAGCCTACAAAAGCCATGATCCTCACTGAGAAAATCTGATGTATCAAGGACTGACTGGTTTTGTAGTGGCTTAGTGGCAGTAGTATAAGTGTAAGAAGCCTTACCAGTGGAAACATCTCTCCATTAATTTGTGCATTTCCAGTTAGCTGGTAGGTGAGTGGGAATTTTCCGATTCTCTTTCTTCCTTAAGGATTGGCCATTAGGCTCAGATGTCCTTTTCCAAGTCTAGCTGTTAAGAGTTTGCATTATTCACAGGAAAGCCTGGGTTGACCACGCTGTCTCAATCCCTAAGCTGACTGAGACCGTGAATGCTACACATTCATGGTTGGCAGGTGTTGTGCAAGTCATTTCACAACTACACTTCCAACCGATTAATATTCTCTCTGACTAAATGTATTTGTAGTTTTAACTAGGGCTACTATGCTGGAGGACAGTAGTTCAGATATGGGGTATCTTTGGGGAGGAAGGTGTTGTCAGACTTCTGCCAGGATTTGCAAAACAAACAAAAAGAAAATTCAGACAAGTATGAATCAGTAATTTCACTGAGTTAATTTAAACCACAAGAACTTAAACATGGTCAGGGATTGAGCAATTCACACATTCCAGGCAAGAAAGAAGCTAGCTTGACCTTCTGCACAGCAGGCAGGAGAATGTTAGACCACAGACTGATCACAGTAATTTCTGGTTAAACAAAAATACATCTGCTGCAGATGTTGAGGCATCAAGTAACAAAGAATTCATCACAACCTATTTGATATACTCCACTAAATTGTTCCAGTGATTCATTATCCTCACTTAAAATATATGACACATCTACTCTGAATTTGAGTAGCATCAGCTTCTGGCCATGACATCTTAATATCGTACTTTGCCCTTTTATTGTTATAATGGGACTCTTGGATTGGATGTTAGTGCTCTAAAGGTGCAGATAGTCCATAATAAGAATTTTTGAATCACTCCTCCTTGAGAAACTGATTTATTTCTCTCACTGTAGGATGTGTTTTATGAATCCCAATTTTTTTTCCATCATTCTTCTCAATTTCTTCAAAATCCCTTTTAAGGAGTGAATCCTAACATAAGTACAATATTTTTGCAATGGTCTAAGAAATGCCACATAGAATATTACCTTTGTAATCTCACTAGCCTCAAATTAAGTCTCCACTTAATTTGATCAAGGACTACAGAACAGCTTTGGGAGCTCATGTTCACCTGCACCATCACCACGATTCCCACTTCCTCCTTAAGAGTGGTTTACAAGAGGTACTCCTCCATTCTGTGTGTGAGACAGACACTCTTAGTTCCATAATATACAACCTCAATAGCTGCCATAATTAAGATGCATGCTGTTTGCACCCAGCATACCAAAGAGTCCAGACTGCTCTGCCAATCCTCGTCCTTTGCTCTTTCCCCACCTTTCTGTGATCTGCAGATCTTACCAGTTATGTATTTATATTTTTATCCAGATGACTAATACAAACAGTGAATAGTAGTGGGCTGAGAGACACTCAAACTAAATAGTAAAATAAGAAGTGTCATCTCTGTGTGCTGTTATGAATGTTTATGTAATCATCGGATCACGTGAAGCAGCGAATGAACGCTTCGTGCAGACTATTTTAAAATACTGATCTATACTTACTTTATCTCTGCTGGTACTTACTTTATTGGTGTTGATCCAGAGCGGGACATATATAGCAAAATAAGGAAGAGAAACATCACAAATGCAGCAAGCCCAACCCAAAAGGCTATGACGATAGTATCTGTGAGCACAACACAAGAATTCTGTTACTGGTAACACAAGAAATATAAAACTTACCTATATATCTTATGATTTCGAAGAAGCGTGTCATTTAATAAATTCAATTTAATTAAACTCTTGAGAGGTAGGAATCTGAGCACCAATTCGTTAAACACCTTTAAGACACTCAAGCAGTTTATGGTAACAGTGTATGGTCAGGGTTGGGAGAGAGTTTGGAACAAAGAAGTCTAGTAAGTGCAAGGGTGACCAGCACTATGCATATATTTAAAAGGCAACATAGTCCATTTAGGATGGTCTTCAGCATTTCATCTCTTTCACAGAATCACAGAATCACAGAATGGTTGAGGTTGGAAGGAGCCTCTGGAGATCATCTCGTCCAACCTCCCTGCTCAAGCAGGGTCCTCTAGAGCACATTGCCCAGGATCGCGACCAGGCGGGTTTTGAATATGTCCAGGGAAGGAGACTCCACTACCTGTCTGGGCAACCTGTTCCAGTGCTCTGTCACCTTCACAGTCAAGAAGTTTTTCCTCAGGTTCAGATGGAACTTCCTGTGGTTCAGTTTGTGCCTGTTGCCTCTCGTCCTGTCGCTGGGCACCACGGAGAAGAGTCTGGCCTCATCCTCTCGACACTCCCCCTTCAGACACTTGTACACGTTGATGAGGTCACCTCTCAGCCTTCTCTTCTCCAGGCTGAAGAGGCCCAGCTCTCTCAGCCTTTCCTCAGAGGAGAGACGCTCCAGTCCCCTAAATATTTTTGTAGCCCTCCGCCGGACTCTCTCCAGTAGCGCCATGTCTCTCTCGTACTGGGGAGCCCAGAACTGGACACAGTACTTCAATATAGTTCCTTTCACAAAGTCACAAGGCATTAGAGTAAGCAGTGTAGTACTTGGGTAAGACTGAAACGTTACTGGACTGAAACGTTACTGCTGCTAGTGTAGGAGCCAAATTCTACTCTCAGGTGAATAAGTACAACAACCCATGAACTCTAAAAGTGATCGGATGATGCTTTTAAGGAGGAAATTCTACCCTTGAAGAGCTTTCTACCAAGAGTTTAAATACTGGACTTTTGCACAGAAAATTCTGTTGAAAAAACACCTGTGACCCTTGCAGCATATCAGTCCAGTAGAAGAGATTGTGCAGTGTCCCCTGTTCAGCTGCAATATTTATGTTACCACCATAAAATAGTTCAAAATGCAGCCAACATTATTAGGGCTAGGTGGTTTCTTTTCGGAATAGGTAAGCAATTAGCACTCAAAAATGGGTTCACAGTTGATTTAAACAGGCCTAAGACACGGGCACTGCTGCTATTCCTGATTCAGGTGAAAACTTTTTTTTTTTAAAATTAATGAAAGACAGACAGATGAACTGGTCCCTGTTCTGAGTGACCACATGGCTTCACAACTGAGTGCTAAGAGGAGTCAGAGACAGAGGAGACAAGAGAGTTGCTCTTTCATGAAGTAAAGCTGTGGTGCTGCTGCTGAAATTACTGCCTCAATTACAGGCTTGCTGTTAGGTGGGATGAAGCCGTCCCTGCCGCAGTAACATATTCAGTCACTGTTTCAAAAAGGCCCCTGCTTCCTGGGATCGGTGTGGTGGTGCACTTCCCAGCTAAGGCCTTGAAAAGATTGGGTGCTGGGCAGGACAAAAGCTGAGAAATGCCCTGAATTCATAACCACATATTCACTTAGACTGAGGTGAAAAAGGAGGGTCATTGACTCTACAGACAAATATTGACTAAGAGAAAATAAATCTTCTATCTCAAAGGACAAAAAACATCAATGTTCTTTGAAACACATCCAATATGTTTGATTAGGTGTTTCTTTGTGAAGAAGTTCAGAACGTGTTGTCATCAGAGCCACAAAGAGATTAGGGGGAGTAACTCTAGTTCCTTTTAAACCTAAAACTAAAACTGACCCAGTGGGAGTCTTATCAGAAAGTTGTTTTGGCTGGGCTACTAAGAAATGAGTGTGCAAAATGACTACTGGAGCATCAGCTTATTTTATTCTTCCTCTGTTAAATAAATTTGTATTGAGCTTTAATTCAGAAGATGGTAAATTAGCATGCAAGAGCTAGTATTTTGACTCACCCATCACAGAATTATTATGGGAAAAAGGGACTGGAGGCTACTGGCCAGTCCCAACTCCTCAAGGAAGGATTAGGAGACTTCTGCAAGAAAAAATGGTGCTCGTGATCCAAAGACAGTTTGAAAAGCACAGTTTTGAAGTGCTCAAAGGTATGCGGACAGAAATGAAGAGTCTAGATTTATGCCAAACTGAAGTAATTTTGGTTTATTTTTAAGAGCACCTTTATTATCATTCATAGAATTCACAGAAGCTAACTAAAACTGCTACAGATCTCAAGGGGAGTTTGAATTCTTGAGGGGAGTTTGAACTCTTGAGGGATTAAACAGAAACTTCCTGGCTGTTTTTACAGTCTTACAATTAACAATTTTTTAAAGTGAGATAATGTATTTTAACAATCTATTTAAAAAAAACTTTTCTATTGCTGAACTTGTGTGTGTGTGTGTGTGTGTGTGTGTGTGTGTGTTTAAATAGCCTATGAGTTCATGGGCTGATTTCACTTTTTATTATTTTTACACAAAATGGATGGAGCTGCTCAATGCTATTAATAGAAAGCAAGCAACATGACTTTATAGCTGGAATTAGATTCATTTTCATGATAAGAACACAGTCTTACAATGTTTCAGGGACAGGCCACATAACAGAAAGTGCAGAGATTCAGGACAAAAAAAATCAGGCAAAATTGAATTAAGGAGCCATATAAGGGGTTCTGATGAATGTATGATTTATTTGGGCCAAGTCAGCAATACCCCTAAACAAAAGCTGAAACCCCTTTGCACTCAGTCTGGCAGAGGCCCTCTGGAACTTCAATTCAGCAGTTGTTTTAGCCCTGGAGATATCAAACATTTTGCCAAACTTGGAATGTTTGTGGCTATCTAAGCCTCTGTCTAAGGGGAAATTATCACAGTTCATCTTCAGCACACAGGGCAAGGACTTGCTGAAAATACTTTGTTTACATAGTTCCAAGCACAAGAAGACAGTAACAGTGGCTTGTGAAAGTGTAAAAATATAAATTTTATATAAATACAGGAAAATCTACAAAGTAAATTCTTTACCTGACTAGTCTTTGTATTTAAAGCAAGTAAGCAAACTAACCAACTATGGAATCAATTCTCTTAGTGTTTTCTTTATAACTTGAAATCACTGTTCCCCATTGGCATTTGGAGAAGGAAGAAAAAATGTACTAAGATGGCACAGCCTCCATTCCTCCTAGACTGCTGACATGGAAAAATGTCTATTTTTATATGAAGCAAAAAAAAAAAAAAACAGTTTCACTTCCCTAATTATCAGAAAACCAAGCCCAACATTTTTAGCTGAGCATTTAATATAGCCAATGTGGGTTTTTTAAAAGACATAAATCATGGAGCAAAACTCTATTTTAACAAGCTGCCTAGAAATATGTTACACAAACTGCAGCCCCAGGGGACACAGATTGCCTTAACAGTACCCTGCTGAGGAGGGGGGGAAAAAAATCTTGAACCCTACTCTTGCATCTTTATTGTTGTTCTTTGCTCGGGAGATGAGCAGCTGAAGCACAGAAGTCTGGTTTCCTGCAGATTTGTTTCCCAAATCTGAGCCCAAAGGTGGTTTCCTTGGTGTCTAACAGGGGATGTGCTCACCCTGCAGCCTTTTTGTCAGTAAAGGTCTTTGCCAGCAATGTTCTTCCTCCTCTATCTAACCACCTGCTGCACAGAACTTGTGGATGTTTTACATCTTTGAGGCTCCCACTCCTTTGTTAGCAGATAAACAAGCTAAAGTTGTTGGAGGAGCAGATTAGATGCATAAACACAAAGTATGATCACATAAGTAACCTCTTTAGAAAATAAAAAGGTCTGAAAGAAGGTAGACTTCTCTCCTTCTTTAGGGGAAGAAGAGAAAGCAAATACAGAAAAAAATCAACAAGAGACTGGTATATTCTACTTTCTTAGGGAAATAAGGCTTATGACATCACTGTGTGTGCATGCACTATGTACATGTGGGAATTTCCTCCATGGAACTATTAGTAAATATCAATTAAATTTAACAGAGAGGGAACATTTTCTCACAGAAATATGATTTCTAACAGTTTCAAGAAAACAGGCAGCTGGGTAGACAGAAATATCCTATAAATGGCCACGGAGGGAAATGCTTTAACACAAACTCCACCCCTATTAGATATCAGGGAATCCAAATGTAAGAAAGATTCTATTACTGGGAAAAAAAGTGAAAGGTCAGATTCCCGAGCCCTCTTTGTGAGAAGCCAACAGCATGCAGCTAGCTTAACTCAGCAGTTCAGAGTTCCCCTGGTGGAATTAGGGGGCAACTATCTGCCCTGCCATCTTTAAAATTAAGACAATTAGGGAAGTGGTGTAAAGCTGCTCAAAACTTGCCTGTTCCCAACAGCACCAGATGTTGCTCTATTCAGCATTCAAGAGCAGATTTTACACATGGACAGGGGTGGATATTTACACCACCTTCTCTAAGGCATCTTACTGTAGGTTCCTAAGTTTGGAGGCAACATATCATAGAATCACAGAATCACAGAATGGTTGAGGTTGGAAGGGACCTCTGGAGATCATCTAGTCCAACCCCCTGCTCAAGTAGGGTTACCTACAGCACATTACCCAGGATTGTGTCCAGACAGCTTTTGAATATGTCCAGGGAAGGAGACTGCACAACTGCACCAGTGCTCTGTTCCCTCACAGAGCGAACTTCCCATGGTTCAGTTTGTGCCCGTTGCCTCTCGTCCTGTCGCTGGGCACCACGGAGAAGAGTCTGGCCCCATCCTCTTGACAC